TTTTTTTAAAAAATTTTGTACTAAAAAACTACTTTAAAAAGTTGACCCAAGTAAAATCTAAAGAGACTCATAGGCATGCATACTTTATCATTTAAAAAATATTAGGACAAAAAATATATTAAATTACATATATTTAAGTGTAAAAAAATTAAAAAATTATCTCACTTTATTATATCATGTTATTCTTTATTATTATCTTCTAATTTATCATTTTTTATAATTTTATTATAATAATTATTTAAATCATATTTATTTTCTCTTTTTTTTTATAAATGAGCTGACTTATATAAAGTCGGCTCAAACTCAGAGAATTAAGCTCGTGCTCGATCTGAATCAATTAATCAACTTTAAGGTTAAGCTAGGGATGAGCAAAATTCAGCTTGACTCTGTAACACCTCTAAATTGAATTTATAATCTTTTAAAATTATCATATTTAAATAAAAATCATAAAGCTCTAATAGAGCATCTTCTATTAAAATGAATTTTTTTATTTGATGAAATTGTATGTTTAAGCAATTAAATTATATTTAAATTCAAGAAGTAATTTTGTTCTCATATGATATTAAGATGGGATTATTGTTATATTAATTTTAAATATCTTATATTATTGCTTAATATAATTAAATTATTAAATAATATAACAAAATTTGAAAGATAATTACAGCTAAAATTTTTAGGCAATAATTGTTTATAAATGTCTAATATTTTAGTTGTAATGTTTAATAATTATATTATATTTATTTATATAATTTAACTAATTGATTGATATATGCATGCGAAATTAAGAACACACATAACAAAATAAAAAAAGTTTCAAAATGCTCTTATAGAACTTTTTAGTTTTTAATTAGTAATATATGGCATTGATTATATGTTTATAAAAAATATTATTTTTTGAGTTTTACAACTTATTAAACATTTTAAAATTATTTTTTGGACCTTAAAAATATTATAAATATCTTATTTTGAGATATTCTATATTAAAAATAAAATTTAATCAGCAGTTATAAATTTAATATTTTGTTTTCAAAAGGATTTAAAATATCTTTATTTTTCTTCTATTTTATCAAATACAAATTAATTACATTCCAAAAAAATGAATAAATTAAATAACTTTAAATAGGGTAACTGTTTTAGAATACCATAAATGGTTAAGAAACTCTGATAATATATTTCAATATCTACGCAGACAAATAAATCAGCTAACTTTTTTATAATTATTAGATTTTTTTTTTTTCCTTAGATTTTTATAGAGCTTTCGCCTTTGCGAAGTTACTCTTCTATTTACTCTCACTCCTTCTCGTTCTTCTAGAGAGAAAGGGCCGAATAGGGGGAGGGAGACGAGCTTCGTCGAGGAATATGGGGTGTTTTCTCTGCAGTGGAGAGCCGAACAAGAAAGCGAAGAAGAAATATCAGACCCCATCTGCTGCAGGTAAACGAAATCTGTACCATTTGTTGGCTAAATCTGCTCTTTTGTTTTTCCTTTGGTCGCCTTGTATTAGACTTGCTCTTTAGTCAATGCAATAGGGTTTCCTTTTGATCTTCGTTTTGTTATTTCTTGTGAGTTTCCCTTCTGAGATCAGAAGATGTTCATTTCGCGCTCAAAGGGGACATTTTTATTAGGGTATTTTTCGATCTGCTTGGCTTTGCTGATCGTTGGCACTTTTGCTTGCTAACCGGTGATTGATTTGGCTAAGGATTTTTTCGATTCCATGGCCTTTTATTCTTTTTTTTTCTTTTGGATATATTGTCATATATGTTAGCTAGGAAGGAAATTGCCCGGGATTGTGTTGGCCCATACCCTCCAAATAGAAGGTGGGACTGGAATGTCCTCTCTCAAAAATTCATAATGAAATTTTTTTTGTTGGTTTGCTTTTTTGTTTGATGCGAGTTATGTCATCTAACATTTTACAGTCGATAGGACGTTTTGATACTAATCTGCAATTTGAGTACATCAAAGCTTGTACTAAGAAGTAACTTGAAAAAACAATTAGATATAGAAGTCGTTCCTTTTATTTGAACATTGTACTAAGAACTAAGAAGAAGCTTTGTACTGATCAAACTCTATTCATTGGTCACTGATAATTTTTTTCGTCAAATCCAAGTTATTCATTCATTCCAGTTAGCTTTTCTCTGAATACAATTGTTGCAGAAGTTTATTTTTAGCTGTTTACTTTTGATGTTTACAGTAATTTTGTGCAGTTGTACTGATGTGATTATGGTTCATTGATAAGTGCTCTTTGAAAAGGATTGAACTTTTTAAAATGGCTTCGATGAAGGAACATTTGAGGCCTTTATTTATTTATTTTTGAATTTGTCACTCTTTGGAGACTTTCTAAAAATTTCTTTGCTATTCATGTTGTGCAGGAAAGTCAAGATCAAATCACTCCTTGGATGATAAGAACCAAAGCTTGCAGGTGAAGAAGGACAAAGATGCACCAAAGAGCAGTCCTGAACATATTGCTGCTCAGACTATTAGTTTTCGCGAATTAGCTACTGCCACACAAAATTTTAGAGCTGATTGTCTTCTTGGAGAGGGTGGGTTTGGTCGAGTGTATAAAGGAAGCTTAGAAAGTATTAACCAGGTGACTTTTCTTCTTTTGGATCTTCATCTTTAGTCTCTTAATTATAGTGGTTTTTAGTAATTTATTAGATCAATCAAATCTAAGCATCAGTAAAACAACATAACTTCAAATAGTTAAGATGAAGCTAATAATAACAACTGTTAAGTTTTTGTTTAAAATGTATGCTTCTTGCATAATATGAGCCATATGTTGAACTTCTATCACTAATTAGTATTGTTTTTACTGCAGACTGTGGCTATAAAACAGCTTGACCATGATGGGTTGCAAGGAAATAGGGAATTCCTAGTTGAAGTTTTGATGTTAAGTCTACTACATCATCCAAACTTAGTTAAACTGATTGGATATTGTGCTGATGGTGATCAGCGACTTTTGGTTTATGAGTACATGCCTCTAGGATCTTTAGAAGATCATATTCATGGTAAGCAACATTATAATGCCCCAACTAGACTTCGGCTTTGTTTGGGACGACTTTCTTACTGCTTCTTAAAGCAGCTTTCTAGTACAAAATTTTTTAATTTTTGTGCTACAAAGCTGCTTGAAGAAGCAGTAAGAAAGCCTTCTCAAACGAAGCCTTCATTTGTCACATAAATTTCTGTTGAAACATCTAATCATTCCAACAACTATAGATCCTACTGCTGATATGAAGCCACTTGATTGGAATACAAGGATGAAGATAGCCGCCGGTGCCGCAAAAGGTTTAGAGTATTTGCATGATAAGGCGAGTCCTCCGGTCATTTATCGTGATTTAAAATGCTCCAATATCTTGCTTGGAGAGGGTTATCATCCTAAGTTATCCGACTTTGGATTGGCAAAACTTGGTCCTGTTGGTGACAATACACATGTTTCGACTAGGATAATGGGAACCTATGGATATTGTGCTCCTGAATATGCAATGACCGGGCAGCTGACGTTGAAGTCAGATGTCTACAGTTTTGGCGTTGTTCTTTTGGAAATTATAACTGGGAGAAGGGCTATTGACACTTCAAGGACTACCAGAGAGCAAACCCTTGTTTCATGGGTAAGACTTATTTCCTTCTGCTATCAAAATCAGTAATTTTTTTGAAGTAAATTTATCCTTTTCAATTGTTTACTTTCATATATAATGTGCTTGTAAAATTCTATGGTTAATGAGTGGTTAGTTTTTGTTTTTTGGCATTAAGATTGGATTTTGTTGTTTGCTTCCTGTTGGTGAATATATGCAAAAGAAAGAATTTGTGACCAAATGGGATGGGTGTATTTGTTGGGCTCTCTCAATGCTCAAAGGAAAAAAGGCCTGAGAACTCTTGTATCTTTTTGTTATGCAAAAGATTAGGGCAATGGCACGAAGAAAGCAATTTGAAGATTTAGGAGTCGTTTGAGATGGCTTTCTTACTGCTTCTTAAAATAACTTTCTAATATAAAAATTTAAACTTTTATACTAAAAAGTTGTTTTAAGAAGCAGGAAGAAAGCCGTCCCAAACGAAGCCTTAGAAATTTACTTTTTAGCAAACAGGTCTCTTTGAATAGTTTGGCACGGGAAGTTGTTATGAGAAGTGGTTTTACATGCAAATTTGTGGAGGTGGCTGAGCTTGTCATGTACCTGCGGATAGCAGAGCTCACATGCACAGGGAAATCTCCTTTGTAGAGGTTTTCTATGATGTGACCGAATGCGGTGCACCAGGTTTTAAGATCCTCTCATATGCGTCAAGGAACAGCTGGAATGATAGATCCCTTATTGGGATGGAAGAATATCAAGTGGGCCTGCAAATTTGACTACTGGCCATTGAACCTAAGAGTTTTGTTGACTTGCTCAAAGCCATGAGGTTTTGACCTTTCCCATGAGGCAGAAGGTCTAGCCTCTTACTGAGTTTTGTTGACCCGTTCAACTCCATGAAGTTTGACCATTATCATGGGGCAAAAGGCCAAGCCTCCCACCTCTTATTTAGATCGTGGGTTCCCATTTACCTGGTTTAGTCTGGTATGGGATATTTATCTTTTCATAATTGACAAGTATACATTGAGCACTAATGGAGGTTATTTAAATTCCTACTATTATGTTCATGTATTATTTTATGCTCAAATATTTACGGGAGGAACATTGTCATTTGAATTTCTGAAACATGCCTCAGCTTGTGGGCAAATTATACTATACGGAGACCGCAAGCAAGCTTATGTTCGAATTTACTGTGATTTTGCTGCACTTTTAATGTGCTTTTGCTGTATTTTTGCAAAATGCAGCTAATTTACAATTTTAATTGCGTATTAGCTGCCCTTTTGCTAAGTATTTGCAAAGGCGCAGCAAAAGTACAGCAAATACTCAATTAGTAAGATATTTGTTGCGCTTTTGCTGTATTTTTGCAAAAGGGCAGCTAATAAGCAATTAAAATTGTTTATTAGCTGCTTTTGCAAAAATACAGCAAAAGCGCAGTAAAAGTGCAACAAAATTGCCGTAAATTCGAACGTAAGCTTGCGTGCGGTCTCTGCACAGAATAATTTGCCCAGCTTGTGGCTGTTTCAGTAGAAGTTACTAAACCTGGCTCTGAGTAGAGTTTATCTGTTTGCCTTTTTTTTTAAGTTTAGCACTCAAGTTGCATAACTTATGGAAGCTTCCCTTTCCTATTTTGTTTCATCTAGATATTTCCCAACCCGTAATTTTTCCGAAACAATCATAGATTATCCATATAGAGCTCATTTGGTTGCTCAGATGAAAAATAAATTTCAGAAAGTTTGAATTTTTTTTTTCATTCATTTTGAGTGTGAATGAGCTTGCAGGATAGTACTGATAATGCTTGATCTTTGGATGCAGGCTCGGCCCTTATTCAAAGACAGGAGGAAATTTTCCGAGATGGCTGATCCAACTCTGCAGGGTCAATACCCCATGCGTGGCCTGTACCAAGCTCTCGCCGTTGCTGCCATGTGTGTTCAAGAGCAGCCTACACTGAGGCCTGCCATTGCCGACGTAGTTACAGCTCTCACATACCTTGCATCTCAGAAATACATTCCTGAGAGCAGCCAGAATACTTCTCGCATGTTCGCACCAGGAACTCCACCTCGAACAAGAAAAGACAGAGATAAGAAACCAGGAGATAGCCGTTAAAATTCCTTCCATGACTATGTTTTGGTGAGCGTTGGAATGTAGTTTTTGATTCTTTTGTTTCATTATGTTCTGAGGGAAGGAAGACTGGTGCTAGTTTTATGGTTGTTTGGGAGAGAAAAGCACTTTCTGGGTGGTTGTAAATGTCTTTTTGGGGGTTTCTTGTATTTTATTTTTGAAGTTTTAGTTTTAGTCTTTATTGTGATCATTTTTAATGACCAGTTTTTAAGAGTAAAGCATAGAACATTTGTTATTGTCTTGTTAGTTCTGCTATTACATTGTTCTTAATGTGTAATTGTTAGTATTTTGTTGTATGCTGTTAATATCTAACTACTCTAGAACAAAGTATTATCTAAAACATTTGTTGGTATAGCTGTACCCGCCAAATTGGCTTCTACTGGCGAAATTATTATGTGCGGAGACCTAACGTAGAACGCCGTCCGGAGACTAATCAGAATGCATCATATCAGCGGTACTGAGCCACGGTACATAGCGAAGGGGTGACGTGATACATTCTGGTTGATCTCTAGACGGTGTTCGACATCCACACAGAATAATGAATCCTTCTCTTCTACTGAGTTGTGTGAGTCGCTTTCTTGCGTCACAACTAAACAGAAAACCTTACAATTTTGGTTTATTGTGAGACTTTTTCATAGCTGCTAAATCCAAATCACAAACATAGTATATTATTCTAGATTTTATATAGGACTGGTTTCTTTATTGATAATGAACAAATATCTGCTGCCTTCACAAAGTTTTACTCCCATTGAATTTACAACAACTGTAAGCAGGTGAACTCATAACACAACCTTTATCTTTTGCCTATGATCATATTTAATCATTTTATGAGCATGTGTTTAAGTTTGAATTTTGTAAATTGTGATATTTTATGAAGATATAATAGTGGAGTCAATGGGGATTTGGGTGGCTTTCCCTCCTTAGGTTTGGAAAAATATAATGTGAAGCTTCACAATTAATTTCTTAAGGTTAATTATTTTGCCACTTGTCCTCATTATATAGTTCATATTGATGTCTTATATTTGCGTATACGGTGTTCTAGCAGGTAGTGGTTGGATCATAATAAGGACACTTGCTTTCAAAAGGAAGTCCCTTGAACACTTGCTTGAACCAACCAAGGAGTTCGCCCTAGATTAGGCAAATCGAAGATGGTTCGTCAGGCAAGTAGAACACCACTCATCGCGACCTCAGTCATTAGCTCTCATCTCAGAGCTATTATTCTCTTATCCAAGCTCAACTATAGGAAGGCTCTCAAAAAATGATATTATACTCTGGCAAACATGGGTTTCCTAATTGCCCTAATGTTTGCCAGAGTATCTACCCTCAGCTACTTTAGTTCACTCGCCCTTTCTCTCAAGGCAATCCAAGACTCATCACGCAACTCCTAATTAGGCTCACACTACCAAGTTCATCCAACTTCGCACCAACTCGCAGACACACTAGTTATCATGGAGCTTGCCTTCTACCTCACTCGTCCAATGCATACTCGCCTTGTTCACCCAGAGACATCCTCCATCTCAATCGCCAATCAGGAGTCGACATGTGTATAGATTATAGTGTAGCGTTGCATGTAATATGCACAACATTGTATTTTTACTTTTTTTTTTATGCTGCCCTTTTTATAGCCCCTAAAATCATAAATAAGGGATGATATATGGAAATAGTTCAAGAGAGACACAAACATATCTTAAAAAAAAATACAAAATGATCTCTTTGACTAGTATGCAAATTTCTACTCGTTTGAGATTTTTAGTTCTCCTCTACTCTTCCTTTGCATTCTCAATTCTCACTCACAGGTTCTTTAACTCTTCAGGTAGCCTGCCAGTAAAGCTTGGTGTCATCCAACAGTGATCAAACCCCAAAAATAAAAAAATTTCTTGTTGGAGTACCAATTGGATTTTTTAAATATTCCCTCAACTTTTTCATTCATGCTTGAGAACAATATTGTTAACTTAAAAAAATTATATAAATTTATTACTAAAAAAATAAAATATAAAAGAAAAAAACTTAAAATTTATAATGACTATTCTTAAAGAGTCGAATAACTCTATTATAATCAATACAATTAACTATTTCTTTCTCAATATACATGATTAAATATCATTTATCCTTTAATTTTGAATTCTATTTCATAG